AAGGGAGTGAAATTAAATAATCTTATAGAACAATTTACTGTTGGACATCTCTCCTATGCACTTGGTTAAGAGAGGCCCACTTGAAAACACAAGCATGAAAAAAAGGAAAACAAATAAAATAGAACATGAGGAGACTGGCTACCATGTCTACTTTACCTGCAGTGATCGAATCGATTACCAAGCCACTACATAGAAACACTGGAGCCCTGCTTGTGGCTATTTTGGGAACGCCAGAGAAGATCACCGATCGGTTCCAACGCAGTACACCCAAGGGCCCCAAACCTAGCCTAGTTATTTATTATAGAACAATAAAAATCACACTCATTAGAAACTTGTCAAGAAAAGTTCAAGGTTGGACACAGTACATAAAAACCATGCCCCATGACAATCAAGATCAGGTTTGGGAGAAGTCCATGGCCTTTGCACTTCAAAGCACCTAACAGGCACAAATGGAATGAAAAGGCAAAAAGAACCAACCCATTTCACAGAGCTACGTGCTTCCTTGAATTACAGTATGACATGCATTCTATAAATAAACCTCTAGGGATAGGAAGGTAAAGAAAAATGGCAAATGAATGAGATGAAGATAGTGATGGTATCAGGTGATGACTAAAATGAAATTTAAACCACATCAGACAGAAAAAACTAGTTACGGTATGTAAATGAACTTTAAAAACAAGGTAGAATTTGTGTTTAAATGTTTGAATTAAAATGGATTTAGCTTTACGAGGGCTAGTTTCTTCATTCTACACAAATTCTTGACTACCAGAACAAATTTCAAGTACTATGTCTAGGAAAAAGGAAGGAAAAAAGCAGATAACTGAACGATGTAGAAAAGGAAATAAGCATTAGTTGGACAAACTTCGCAAATGAATTTGATCAAACCTCTGGGAATAAAACCACCATGACAAATACATAGAGATTAGCTTGTTGCAAGCCTTCCCAATAGTAAAAAGCTCATAGGGTTTAGAGAGACCAAATTAATGGAGACCAAAACAATAGAAACCGAATTAATACCCCAAACCCACACAGGAAAGCTGCTCAATTTACCCTTTGAAATAACAAAAACTTGCTAGATAGCTTAAGACAAAACTGTAGGCAGAACGAACAACCTCAAGGAAAACTCAAATGTTACTTTAACAGTATTTGTCAAGACAAAGAATTTGGATTTAAAATACATGTAAGCAAGTAGAGGATGTAAAGGAGCCAAAGGAAAGCGGCATTTGCATGCAAAATGACTCAAAGTTACATCACCTAACAATAACTTACCAAGGCTCAGCAAAGTAAAAGATCAAAGTACTAGAGTCAAAATCAGTAAAAGGGAAATGCTCTTCAAACAAATTAGGTGTCTATTGCTGTTTTGTCATGAATAAATCCAGAATAAGATTTACCATGGCTTTTTACCATCACAACACAAAATGAAGTTTACTGGAAAAAGAAATATGGAGGTAAACTGTTCTTGTTGTTTTACAATACTGAACTATAATAATCTATAAATTATAGTTAGCAAAATCAAGAAATTTGGACCAAGTTTTGGTAAAATAGACTCTGTATGGTGCTCAAAGCACGGCATACATTCCATTGCAAAAGAAATAAAAAATTAGGTTCAGGGTCAGGGTCTGAAATATAATAGAAAACAAATATCATAAGAGAAAAATGGTGCAGTTACAGTGTGGATATCTCAGAAGACTCAAAGCAAGATTGAAAAAAGATTGAAAAAATAACATTGAAAAAGATTGGTTTTTAAGAACTCCACATTTCCATAACCACACCATGCAGCAGCAGAAAATATGCAGCTCAAAAGAAGCGTCTTTTGAGTTTGTAAAACCAGTTTCCTGTTAAAATTTGGTGATTGGATTCAGAATTACAAGTTCACAAACAAACAAGCCAGATTAGGAATGGGAAGTGGACTTGTATGCCACAACCTCAATAAAAGAAAATGTTTACAAATATATTTTGTTTATATAAAAACATCTTTCTAGGTTGATAACTGAACAAGCCTGGTCCAAACACACACACATTTTCTGCTTTTGAACGCATGCGCGCAACCAGCAAGAGCGCTGCTGGTAAAGTGATACTGATACTCTAATAACCATTGCTTCCTATTTAAAGCTGTTACATTCATTGTTATAAGTTACTACAAAGATAAAAAGCAAAGTGGTCACTTTTGACATTAGATATTATTTTAAGAGAGAGAAGTTCAAAGACAACAAAACAAATGTACCCCTTTTAAGGGAGAAAAAAACAGTAAGCTATGGTTATTAAAAAATATCAATTTAACTGATCTTTCCATAAAAATTATGCCTGCTATACTGTAGTGGCTCAACACTACATGCAAGAAAAGAAGATAAAAATAAATTGTGACAATGATAACCCTTGTGGATTAAAGAATGAAATCACAATTACTGATGCGGTTTAGAAAATGAACACGCATTTTTAATTCTTTCAGAAAATAAATTATGATGGAACAGGCATAGTTTAAGGAGAGGTGAAACTTATTGAGGACCAATTTTTTTAAACCCAGGTAGAAAAAACAATTATCTGATCTATCACTGCAACACAGATTAATGATCACCTACTGAATCTATGGAAACCTAGACACCAATTCAATTGATGAATTGGTTTACGAGCACAGATCGTAAGAAATAAACTTAATTTCAAGGGCGTCAATGAAAAGGGATGTTCTTTTGAACCAAGAATATGCTTAAGGCAAGTCTGTATGGTAACAGATTTCTACACAAGACCAACACTGGATTGAAAGCAGAGAATTAGATTAGATAATCAAATGTACTGTGCTGCTTGAAAATAACAAGCTGCAACATAAAAACCTAATTTTACAGCATATTGAACCCCTGTATTACTTTTAGAATAGAATATAAAAGCAATACTAAGCCATGTATAGATGCTATAATGTTACCAAATGGGAAAAAAATTAAGCTCAAAAGTTTTATCAGTGCACAACAATTTGAGAAACAGAGTACTTGCTTTAGGTATTTCAACATAAAGTTCAGTATTCTTTGTACAGTAGATGCCCTTCCCCAGCACCAAGCGCAGCACTGACCCAAACAGTTGTCTTAGGCCAGTACTAAGGTGCACCTTAAAGTGAGGCTTGGGTGAAATGGCTAAATCAAAAACTATCTGTTAGATTTCATCAAGAAAATTATTCAGCTCCATTATGTTTGTAACCAAAAAAGTCTTTAGTTACTTCAAAATCTATCCATCCAGGGATTTTCTCATCAAGTTTATCGTCCACCTCTGAATATAAAAGCTTTGAGGGACTCCATGCACAACAGGTTACATCCCAGGTCACATTGTTACTCACAAGAACCACAATGGAACAAATTATGCATGCACAGTTTTATCTCTGTTAACTCTGAATTAATTTTTTATTATTCCTGTTTTCAATGTGATTTTGCATAAATTTCATCCAAGCTTCACTTTAAATAGTGAAGGTTAAGCGTCATCCTAAGAAAAAGGGTACGATCAAAGTATAACCAATATTTCAGATTACAAATGAGACTGGGCAAGCTCTGCAAGCACCAGCAACACAAAGTCTGTGGGAGAAAATGCTTTGAGAACACACTACAAGACAACAATACAAGGCCTAATGTTTGAAGAGCATCTATATCATGTAAAATGAAGAAAGCCCATACATCATATTACAAAGCAATATCCAGTGTTCCAACTAAAACACTTAAAAGTTCTCTTATGTCCTTGCAGAAATGGTCAGTTAAATTAAACTTCATAAATGAGATGATATTAAAAAATCAAAATGTGTGGTGGATTACTAAATCCAAGGTTTAAAACAGGCAAATATGAGAATTTCTAATGCTTGAAAAAGCCTTTTAGATTTCTGCATTTGAACACTTGATATCATGTACTAAGCATTAGCGCAGTTACACATACCTTGGCCTCATCAAGCCTTCCCAAGGCTTTTAACAAGTTGCCTAAGTCACTGCGCACACAGTACAAATCCTGAAAAAAATGAAACACAATGGACAGGTTAAAACAGTACTTTGAAAAACTGGATATTTTCAATCTACTTCAGAGGAAAAACAATTACCGGGTTGTACTGTAGTGCTGTTACATAAGCTTGGACAGCCTGCTCCATATCTCCAGCAGCAACAAGGGCTGCTGCCAAGTTGATGTAGCCATCAATGAAGTCAGGTTTTAGACGTACTGCATGGCGATAGTTTTCCAACGCTTCCTGAAGTTGACCACGTTCTTTGTAAACATTGCCAAGGTTAGAATATGCTTCAGCGAGCAAAGGATTTTGCTTGATTGCCAAGGCACTAAAGTTGGCAGACCTACGCAAACATTAAAAAATGTATCAGCACAATATCTCTATACACAATATCTCTGAAGGTATCACAAACCACATTTCCATGCGTACTTGTCTAGTCGACGACATTGAAAATGGATTGATGAAAGGAGAAGTAGAACTCCAGTGTTGTTATTCTCTTGGTGCCACAGCTGCATACAATGACGTTCCGCATTTTCATAATCTCCAGCCTGATACTCCCGGTGTGCAAGTTCAAGGAGCCCTACAGATAGACAAATAAATTAATCTTGAGCCAAACTAACCTAAGTTAAAAGGGGATATTAGCAATAAAAATAGTTCCCTTCAAAGAGCATATTGGTTTAAAATCTCTTAATGACACAGCAAAAATTGATTCATAGGTGCAGTTTCTGTGAAATATTTGGAGTTAAATGGAAAGAGAAAAGTAATTCGATACATCACATGGAAACACGTTCCACGCGTGATTAGATAAAATTCAGCGCGGCTCGATATGGGTTAGCACATAACCCTTTGTTCAGAGAAAATGGAGAACGAGGCCTCAGCTCGGGGGTGATCTAGCGTCATGTAAAGCCCAAACTATGGCAAGGGAAGAGAAAATGACGAGGGAAATGTAATTCTGATTTTGAAAGGAAAATAATTTGCGCGAGTGGGTAATCTAGGCGATGAAAGTAGTTTGGTCGTTTAGGTAACAGCGGCAGATGGTAGATAAACATGATTGGAGGTCCGAAGGAGCCACACAACAAGTATGATATCTAATCCCATGTCGATTTAAAATTTGGATGAAGAAATAAAATCAAGAAACTTACCAATACTTGGAATTTCGCTCATCTTTAAGATGACACTAGCTCCTGCAGGTATCTGGTGTTGGATCTGCTGCACTTGGGCGGACTGCATTGAGAATCCACTTGCGAAAACTTTAAAATGTGTTTAAAACTTGCAGCGTCGTTGCTTTTCGCCGCAAAGTTACGTCAGTTAAACAAAAGACAGTCTCAATCAAGTCAAACGTAAATAAATTTAGCCAATACAGGCAAAACAATCAACAAGCACAAATTCCATCAAGAGAAACACACGTCCGGCCCTTTGCGATTGTTGGATGGATTGTAGATGGCGTGACAGTTCCGCCGCATGGAACGGCCCCGGGACCTTGACGCTGATTGGCCAGGCGGCAAGGTGGGGGAGATGCGCAAAATGATGCTCACATGAAAGCCACGGTGAATTTTAATCTAGCGATGGTTGGAAGCCTACGCTAGACAGTTTTATTAGAACGGGGATGGATTAACTCAAAAAGCGAGCCGAGAGAAGAGACGGGGGCCCGATGAAGTTCCCGGTGGGGTGCGTCTGACGCGCAGCGCGTGCGCAACGTGCGCATGCGCGAGTCCCTGTCGGAGTCGGCAGAGCGTCTGGCGCGCACGCTGCCGCGTTCGAACGTGTGCGCGCAACCCAACGCTTTGGTGCGCCCAACGCAAACGCCTCGCACGAGCACAGGGATGCGCTTCGCGCCACTGGGAAAGGTTTGTGGGGTAAACGCGTCCACGCGCCCGGGACTGACTACAGTGAGCACGGATGGGGTCGCCGATGACGTCCCTCCGGCAAACCGACATTTGGCGGCCCCCGCCACTCTCAAATCCGCGGTTTCCGACGCTTTTACTGAATTCTTGAGGTGACTGCTGTTTTGCGATTCCTATTTAAAGTGATGTCAATGTCGATTTTTGATCACGTTGGTTGACTCCTAGGACGTCATTTTAATATTAAATGTCATCATCTGATGCCAAAATGACGTCGAATCAGGCCACCTTGCAGTGACGTCACTTGATATCATTTTGGCGAAACTGCTGTTCTCTGAGGGGTGTGACTCTTTTCTTTCAGCCCGGAACATCACTTACTACACAGCGGCAATTCGTTATCGTTACTGTCACCGAGTCATCCCGTCCCACCACCCGTCCGTCCAAGTGACAGTCAAAGTGACATCAAATCAATATTGCAACTTTATCAAAACGCTATACGGACAAGACAGAACCTATGTCACTTCGACTGGTATATTTCGGCCTGTATCAGGTCGTCGCATTTCGTGTGTCCGCCTGCCCCCGCAGTCCAAAGACCAGAAACACCCATCCCCAGCCGCACCCCGGATCGCGCGCCCACCCACATTCCCCCCGCCCCCGGGTCCTAGCCCTCCAAGTGCTTCCAGCAGTCGAGGTCGACCGAGGCGGGGGCGCGGGTAACTGGTGGTGGGTGAGCTCGACGAGCCCACACAGCGACGCCTTTCTCTGTCTCGCTCGCGCTCGCTTCGCCCTGCTTGGCCCTAATGAGTTTCCCGTCTGTGACGACCAACTGTGACCTCCAGCCAGCGCACGTGACAGCAGAGCCTCGCATCTGCACCTCTCTCACTCAACCGGCCTGATTTCCTCCACAATTCTCTCATTTTAGTCGTCGACGTGAAACGGACTGCTTCGGAAATAGAAGCGTTGATAAAAACAGCCCCGGCCCCGGCTTTAGAAATACGTAACGAAGCAAAGTCGACTCATAGCGCCCGCTACTCTGCCGAGGCTGTGGGCTCCGCCAGCCCCCCCAGCTTGGAAAACGTGAGAGTCGCGAATCGAGAGTAAAGGGGGGTGGGCGTGGTTAGTTGCTTACACGAGCGCGAATTTCGCAGCGATGCCCTGACGTCACGACGCGCGGCAAGGAGAGTCTGGGGGTCATTATGTTTTGCTCGATAGCGAGCGACGTTAAGGGGAGAGGTCCACCCACTCCTATGGCTCCCTCGGGTTGACAAGTTTAGTGCGAGTTTTCGCAAGTTTTCCTGAGTTAGACGCAAGGGTTTT